ACCTTATAGAGCCTTGTCAGAGTAATCCTCTTGTCTTCTCTCTCTTCCCTTCTGTTGTTTGACAAGTGTGAAAACTCAGTGGACGGGAAAGCCAGCTAAGCAGAATAACTGCGAGCATGTGATAGTGGGGGAAGGGTAAACTTGAGTTCAATAGTCTGTAATGTGTCACACAAGCTACAGTCATATCACAGAAGCAGGTATAAAGCAGAGCAGATAAGGCCAAGGAAGTATTATAAACATTATGTGTACGGTGTTACGTCATATACATACATGTATGCATTTTTATTGACAGCTCACTGCAGACAAATGATGATAGATATTAGCCGAATTGTTGTATATAGCACACTGACTATATAACTTTTTAGTAACACATTTTCTTAGTCTTCTGTGGGACAGACTATTTGTATGTACAAGTCGATATAATGTATTATATGAAGGTATACAGGATACAAGTGTATATAGGCCATTGCTGCAAACACATATCCCACTTTGTATCAGCTTAAACATGCTCCTGATACCAACATTCCACTCTGATTGACAGCTTTACATCCAAAGTGACACATATTATCTCCGACTTTACCTGGACCAGTAACAACGTGTACCTAATCCTCATTCATGCAAACACGGAAATCATACACCAAAACAGCATATAGCATTTTAATCTGCAATTGTTACATTTGTATATTGTTAATTTTTTTAACGCACTCGCATTTCTTTCCTCTTCTATAGTACCCACAGGTACACCTTGACATTACACCCCCCATTGGTAGCTATTATGCCTCATTATAGCACAAAACCAATCTGTCAGGTTCATCAACTGGCTACATGTCTACATTGGCCTATATATACTTCAGTGGTATTGAAGTATTTGCACATGTGCAGTAGAGCCAGTATATACCTGTAAATGTGTCCTGGTGCCACAGTATAACCATTCGCTCCCTTAATTTTATGTTCTGAGGCTCTCATCTTCAGATAACACAATGCCATATACCTATAACATGTCGTCCCTCTACTCATGAGACAGCCGTTATGAATTTTCCTGCCCAAAGAATAGGCTCACTTTAATCATGCAACGCTGTATTGAAACAAATTTTATACAATTTTTTGGGGACAGATAGAGCTTTCCTTTGGTGGTATTTAATCACCACTAGGATTTTTATTTTTTACTATATTAAGGAAAAATTGCTGACAATTTTACATTATGTTAGGAAACAATTATTATTACCCAATTTTTTGGTAAAATATAAAAGACGGGGTCATGTCGGGTAAATAGACACCAAACATGTCAAGTCTTAAAATTGTGCGCACTCGCAAAATCGCAAAAACTACCATACCCAAAATGGGCAATAGCCGACGCTTTAAAAGCTTTTACCGCTCATCAATTTAGTGTTATCAGTGATTAATGGCCCTAGAATTATTGCTCTCATGACGTTCGCGGTGATATGTAACATGTGCGGCGTAATGAGCGCAATCGCCATGTTCACACATATGCGCACCCGATGCATGTTTGCACACATGTATGTATGGGTGGGGACTTTAAACATTTTTTGTGTTTTTTTTATTCTTTTTCATGTGTGACTATAATTTTTTTTTTGCAACTATAATTTATTTTCCTATTGTTTTTTTTCACTTAACGTTATTGTTATCACACAGGGGGATAAGAAGTCCCCCTATGTGATAGTAAAAGATGTGAAAGGTCCTCCTCATGGAGACATCAGTGATCTGCTTCATCAGCTTCTCTCCAGCTTTGAAGCTGGAGAGTGACACAAGAATGCGGAAGTGATGTAATATACATCACTTCCGCATTCTGACTCCGGAGAGGGGACCGGAGGGAGATTGTGCACAGCAGAGCTTGGGACCAGCGGAGAGGGGGGGGCCACAAGCGGCACATTATACTCTATAGCCGGCGGATCGCTTGTATGTAAACAGGCATCGCTGCCTGTTTTTAAATTTAAGCAATTTCCCTCTTGTGCACGAGTGGGCTCAATCCAGGAAGCTCCGGGCCAGCAGTTTCTTTACAATGGCCGGCCGCGACCAGATAGATGCCAAACTCAACCATTCACGCATAGGCAAATTTTTCTCCGACTGGTCGAAGTTTAATATGAGTACATTGTCCAGGGACCAACTTAAACAGATTGTATCCCCATTTCAAAATACGTCTTGGTACCTTAAGGCTCAGCCCACAGGCTCAGCCCGCAGGCTCCTTGGGAAACTTAGATGTACTCCGTACCAAATGAAGCCTACCTCCACCACTCACCTGCATGCCGATTCATGATATGTCCTCTTAACATTGTCCTCTACGTGAACTACGTCCTCTTCTTAGTCCCATAGATCTATGACCTCTACGCAAATATCCTTGTCCCACCCTTAGCTCATCATATCTGATCGCTCTTTCATCCCCCTTCTCCATTCGGCGACATCCACCTTCCTACATCCAAGCTGCTACTATACCTCCAATCCTCTCCCGGACATTTTCCTACTCACTCCGTCCCAACTTGATTCTCCTTTGTTTTGAAATACGTGTCACGTGTTGTACTAGGTTCACAAAAATGGCCTCCATCCGGAGTAGTTGCCTACTTAACATTACATGTATTATTTGTATAGTGTTTGAGACTAGTCCAATTTTTGTATACTTGCTTTTGAGTGCTATCTTGAGACTATGTTTGTACTACTTGAATACTTTAATAAAAAATACATGCTGAAAAAAAAACAATGGCCGGCCAGGAGGCGGTTAAATATGGGAACATCAATCTGGAAACTCAAATGTAGGAAACATGTCGAGAAATAAGATGTTTTGGTTGGTAAATCTACACATCCACCCAAACCTAAAATGTCAGATAAATGAGTGTGTCTAAACCCAAAAACAAAAATGTAACATACTGCAATTTACCAATCCTTAAATGCGGTGACTGCATTAGTTTTCTATTTTTATTTTATTTTTTTCCTTTATTTTAACCTGGTGATCTGGCCAGTAATACACTTCCTGTCTTAGGGTGGCTCCACTCTATGGAGGAGCAATGGAGCTACCCTTAGACAGCAGCATTTTCACCCTGTGGAGAGGGTAGTATTCGCAAATTTAGATGAACTTGACAAATTAAATCTGAATGCCAGCTAACACTTTTTTTACCAGTTACAGCAATAGATTGTTTGTTTCCTTTTGCGATAAAGGTTTTACATGAGTGAATGAAAGCGGAACATCATAAGCAGCCCTGTCAGTGCAGAATGTTTTTTTTTTTATTTTTGTTTACTTTACTTCTCTTTTGGGCCACAGTAGGACATTTACTAATGCACTCCTGTCACCCAAAGTCAGCATCAAGCAAACCACTGCCTGCTTTTGGCAGAGCCACACCGCAGCCAGGAAAGATCCCAACAATATTGTCGGGGACGTCTTGGTACCTTAAGGCTCAGCCCACAGGCTCAGCCCGCAGGCTCCTTGGGAAACTTAGATGTACTCCGTACCAAATGAAGCCTACCTCCACCACTCACCTGCATGCCGATTCATGATATGTCCTCTTAACATTGTCCTCTACGTGAACTACGTCCTCTTCTTAGTCCCATAGATCTATGACCTCTACGCAAATATCCTTGTCCCACCCTTAGCTCATCATATCTGATCGCTCTTTCATCCCCCTTCTCCATTCGGCGACATCCACCTTCCTACATCCAAGCTGCTACTATACCTCCAATCCTCTCCCGGACATTTTCCTACTCACTCCGTCCCAACTTGATTCTCCTTTGTTTTGAAATACGTGTCACGTGTTGTACTAGGTTCACAAAAATGGCCTCCATCCGGAGTAGTTGCCTACTTAACATTACATGTATTATTTGTATAGTGTTTGAGACTAGTCCAATTTTTGTATACTTGCTTTTGAGTGCTATCTTGAGACTATGTTTGTACTACTTGAATACTTTAATAAAAAATACATGCTGAAAAAAAAACAATGGCCGGCCAGGAGGCGGTTAAATATGGGAACATCAATCTGGAAACTCAAATGTAGGAAACATGTCGAGAAATAAGATGTTTTGGTTGGTAAATCTACACATCCACCCAAACCTAAAATGTCAGATAAATGAGTGTGTCTAAACCCAAAAACAAAAATGTAACATACTGCAATTTACCAATCCTTAAATGCGGTGACTGCATTAGTTTTCTATTTTTATTTTATTTTTTTCCTTTATTTTAACCTGGTGATCTGGCCAGTAATACACTTCCTGTCTTAGGGTGGCTCCACTCTATGGAGGAGCAATGGAGCTACCCTTAGACAGCAGCATTTTCACCCTGTGGAGAGGGTAGTATTCGCAAATTTAGATGAACTTGACAAATTAAATCTGAATGCCAGCTAACACTTTTTTTACCAGTTACAGCAATAGATTGTTTGTTTCCTTTTGCGATAAAGGTTTTACATGAGTGAATGAAAGCGGAACATCATAAGCAGCCCTGTCAGTGCAGAATGTTTTTTTTTTTATTTTTGTTTACTTTACTTCTCTTTTGGGCCACAGTAGGACATTTACTAATGCACTCCTGTCACCCAAAGTCAGCATCAAGCAAACCACTGCCTGCTTTTGGCAGAGCCACACCGCAGCCAGGAAAGATCCCAACAATATTGTCGGGGTCCACCCGCTACCTGATTGACAGCTCGCTCTGCCTCTCTAGATCCATAATCTCCGGAGGAACAGAGAGGGGAGAAGGGAATCCCTTCTGCGGGTAGCAGTGACTGTTAGTTAGTTTTCTCTGCAGGGAGAAGATCGTGAGCTGAGTGATTAGCGTTTCATGATCTCTCAGTATATAGAGCCAGTGTGTGACAGATGCAGTCTGTCCATGCTGGTTCTAAGTATTGGGACGGGTACATTTTACTTTCCCAGTACTTCTCCTTTAAGAAAAAAACAATATGTTCAGTGACTCCATACAGTCCACACACTGACAAAGAAACCTTAGAAACTAATTCTGCATTTAAAATAATGGAAGATTTTAGTAACAAATTATCTTCTCTTTTGTGTAGGTGGCTCAAGAAGACCCCATAGGCTTCAATCCATGTAGCAAGTATTGTGTTAACTCTGATGTGACTCCCCAGTGAAAGCCCAGGATGTCAGAAGAAACATGTTATCTGCCACATCTATTTTATACAGCTGATATGGTTTGCAGAGATGAACCAGGCAAGTACAGACTTGCATTTGTAATCAGCAGTTACTGAAAGAACCATAAGAGTGGCACAGAGTCCCTCCAATCAGCCGGCTGTGCATGTACTCAGTGCTGGAGAGTTACTATGCAGTTTGGACTATTTACTGTGCTTGTCTTGGTCTTGATGGATATTGCAGACAGCAGCAAGGTTGTGAAGGGGAGGAGACACAAGAGAAGTAAGTACTACGCTTACGTTATGAAGTCTGCCTCATCATTGCAGTCCCTCTTTATATGATAAATTAAATGCATTGTGATTTGTTGTAATAAGAATATCAGAAGCAATATTCTGATTTAAATGTATCTTCTTATGTCATGCTTACACATTTTAACAATGATTAAACAGGTTATCATTTAGTTATTGGTGTAAAAATTAACTTAATTTATAGGGAACTGAGTTGAGCTTTCTAAACATATTATATATAATATAGCAGACAATACAATAGTAATTCTTGTCCCTATTCCCACTCGAGCTTGAGTGTTTTCTTGTGTTAATTTTTGCATGTTTTCCTAACTTTTTTAGTCGTTTTCAAGCTTCAGTGTTTTTATTTTAGCCAATCGAAAGCTAGTTACTAGCAGAAGATGGTTGTTAGGTACTATGCTAAAATTGCATGAAAAAGGTGAGTTACCTGTGTCTCCCATCAAGCCCCCATTTACACTTGAACGTGTGCATGTTTTAGCGATTTTGCACCTTTTTTTGTGCTTTTAGATCATTGTTTCACACATTTTTCAGGCATTGTCAGGTTTGTCAGGTTTGAGCGTTTTTGTTTTAGCCAACGGAAAGCTAGTTAATAGCAGGAGGATGAAAAATCAATGAAAATAGTTTGGTGAAAAATAACATGAAAAATGTTTTTTAGGCACTTCCGTTGCCACTTTTTTTGGTGCTCCCTTTGAAGTCAATGGGGTCATAAACGTGCAATTCTGCCCAGAAAAAAAGTACTTTTTCAAGCTACAAGCAACAAAATGCTCAGGTGTGAACGGGAACCACTGACAATTATGGAAGTATTTCTGTTAAGAATTGTCGCACAGGGAAACACAAAACATAAATGCTCAGGTGTGAACGTGGCCAATAGTTTTAAAAGTGTAATATTGACAAATCTGCTGGCTAGCCTTAGTACCACACAACAGATCATCATAGCATGCTGAGGATGGGAGAACCTGAAACAGTCAGTACACCGTTAACTAGAAGAGTTGGACAACCTGTCACTCTATCAGTTTGGTTCCAAAAGTATGGACCCCGAGTCAGTGAACTGTAAGCAAAGGGTACACTATTCCACCAACAAAACTGCTCCAACTTTTTAGGAGCAGCAACAGTTAGCACTCTTTTATCATTTCTGTCAACATATTATTTACATTGAGGGACATATGATGTGGATCGATGTGTGCCAACTTTAACAGCTTGCCACCCTAGACCATGGTCTTTGTTGGCTGTGTTGAAAGTTAGCCCTGCTCATAGCAAGAGGTCTCTATGCATGTCCTTCATCATGAAGTGGGTGCTTCAAGAAGGGTGGCTCAAAAAATAGGTAGGTACCTTGCCACCTACCATATCAGAAAACTGGTAAAGTTGTCTTTACTGACACCCCATTAAACAAAATATTGAAAAGACACACTTACTAATGAGAGCGGATATTGCTTTCAAACCCAGCAGTGTTTACTCCACACTGCGCCTGCATTTTATTAGCAAGTAATTAATGCAGGAGGAGTAGAGGAGGAGAAGGAGGAGAGAATGTGGAGGCTCCAGTGTCTCTCAGAGTGCAGAGAACACCTGTGACTGGAGAAAAGGCTGAACGGTATCCTGCCGCACACCTTGCCGGTAAACCCCTTGGGTTGGGTGTTTAAATGACTGCGGATGGTGCCTCTCAAACCAATGTAGAAACAAGATGTCACCAGCACACGGGAGATATGTATCAATGTAAACATCTTTTATTGACCTACATTGTCACAAAGATGGCAATGATTCAAGGCCACTCAGAGTCCCTTAATCAGGCCCAGGCCTGAATCTGATGAAGGGACTCTATGTGGCCCCCGAAACGTTGCTATCTTTGTGACAATATTTGTCAATAAAAGACATTTCCTTTGACACAATTCTTCAGTGTGCTGGTGACATCTCATTTCTACATGGAGAAAAGGCTGGTCATGAGACTTTGCTAAGTCACGTGACCAGGTTCTCCTCCTCCCAGCTTTTCTTTTCATTTTAATGGAATTTTGCTTGGTTCGGAGTGCCAAAGCAAGTTAAGTGGAGGGCGCATTTCTAAAGCATAGCACTGTGCTTTACAAACATACTTTTTTTTTAAACCAGTGGTATGGCCACATTAGCCCCTTAAAAATCAGTTTATCGAAAACATTAAAAAATAGTAATCCATAGAGGCTTTCCATCTCTCCCATTAACTTTAATCTGTGGCTGAAATCAGTAATTCTTACAGAGGTTCATTACAGTAAATGGAGCATGATATTCTGGAGGATTCCCACTCTCTAGTTCCCATGTCTGTAAGGTTTAATTTATGTATTGCGTCATAAAACTATTGTAACAATGCTTGTTTCCTATGAATTAAGGAGCAGATTACTATGAGATTTATTCACTGTGTGACTGTTGATGCTATTTTTAAATAAAGGAAATAATTCCACGTATAAAGTCTAAAAGGAAAGGAAATATGTAAACACATATATTGACAAGCAGTCGCTACTATTCATTTCTGAGTTTTTACATTGTTTCTATGTTATTCATATAGCTGTATATTAAGAAAATTCAATTCGGTCAAACAAATTTAGAAATAAACGACAGCAAAATTTAGGGTAGGGTACATTCTGTAGCCATATTATTGACAATAGCAAAATACATACCAACAGACAACAGAAGAGAATGACTGCCCTGTTCATTGCCCTGTAATGATATTGTTGGGATTGCTGCCCGCTTGGCTCATTGGTTGTATGTTTTGCAAATGCTGGATGCTGGCATGTGCCTGATGCTGTGTAATCTGCAGGAAGTGCTTGTCTAAGGGATGCAATGAAGTGAGCATTACCATGGAATTATCCAGCTATTTGTTGGGCTACTCATCAGATTAGAAGGGGGAAACACAAACAGACTAACTAAGCCCACTCCCAAAAAAAAAAAAATCCACTTTTTTTTTCTTTAAATAAGGTGTCTCTTTTGTTGTTTGTTGTATTGGATCTGCCTTTAGCTAAAACATCGAAATGAGGTCATTTGTTTTTATTTGTATTTCAATCAAACTTTTGACTCAGAACAGTTTTCTATATGGAAACAATTTGTATTTGTTGTTCCAGTACTGCCATTTGCTACATTATCGTACATCTGTGGAATCTAAAAATGAGCAATGCATTATTCTAGTTAGAGCTGAATGCTAAACAGCTTTAAAAAAAACATCAATAAGTGCAGTTATATATTTATGAAACAATCGTTAAAGTATATCTATAGCCTAAATTTTTTTTAATTTTGGGTGGATAACCCTAAACAATTATTTGGACTTTACTTCAGGAACACTGTGTGTGTATGTACTTACTGGTCCTGACTGGATACATCGTGGGCCTGAAGTGGATATGCCGATCCACTTCTGCCTCCCCCACACACCCCAGCTGTGGTTTTTGGCATTCCCTGCTTCTCTGGAGGACCCAGGACCACAAAAAATTAAATCAACAAAGGTGTTGCGCTCTACATGAACATTATTCCTTAAATAATTCTGAAGACAAACTTAATACATATCTCATTATAAAATACAGTGATACAATAAATACATGAGTTCAAACTGTGTTTGACATACACACAATATCTTGTGTTCTTATAAAATGTCCAATCAAAAAAACGAAATGGTGCTCAAATCTAATACATGTGCGATCATATAAATGTCCAAATGATTAAAAACCAATAATGCACCAACTACAAATCCACAAAGGTGCTACAATCATACAAATATATTACAAATGTGGTTGGTGAGTTGAGCATCTGCTTGTGCACTTAATGTTTAGAATGTGTCTTCACTCGTGCAAAAATTCAATAGCTGCCTTGCACCTTATGGTCAGACCTCTCAAAGAGATGGTTACAAACACTTTACCCTGTTTGTCTTCAGGAGGGGGTTATCCTGACCTTAAGGGTCTTAAGGGACTCCACTCATCAACAGTAAAATCAAAACAGAAGACAGATCATTGCGCAGACCATATTCACATTAAAAATACTTTATTGAAAAAAAACTACTCCCATAAGAAACAGCGGAGTGTGGCTTCCACACTGCCGGGCATATTCACGTAATGCAAAGCTCCACCTCACGTTAGCAAACCCTGCAACAAAAAATGCACTCTGGATGGAAATCAGAAGCAGATAAGGGAAGCCGACTGAAGTGCTGGTTACACAGGTGATCGAGCACAATCCTGGCCAGGGGAGACATCAGGAGTCTAATAGAACCCTGAAATTTACATGAAGAGAACATGTCACCTCCAAACCTTATCACAGTAGGGCTCTGTGTGATAGCAATAAAGTTAAGTGATAAAAATAAAAAAATAAAAATAACAAAAAAGTAAAAAAAAGTAAAAAATTAAAACCAACCGTGCTGCCCCTTCCATCTGCATGTGAATGAAAATGTGCACATAGGGCTTGCACATGTACGTAAATGATGATTGCACACACATCGAAGTAAGAGCAATAATTTTAGGGCCATCACTCACTGTTAACTCTAAACTGGTGAGTGGTAAAGGTGATTAAAGCATTGTTTATGTACAATTTTGAGAACCATAGTTTTTCGTCCTTGCACAGGCGCACGCAATTTTAACGCTTGACATGTTTGATATCCATTTACTTGATGTAACCCCGTCTTTTATATTTAACAACCTCAGTAGCTCTCTTCACAGCAGCAAATCAGCTACCTCTTTACACATGTCCCGCAGCCCGGGGAGTGAAAGCAGATCTCCCTGCACTTCAGAAGGGGACTAAACCCCACAGTTCTCTCTCAGTCCCAAATGTTAAAAGGCCACATCAACACTAAATTCAACGATAAGCCCTATCAAAATCACAGAGAATCATCTGTAATTGTAGAAAGAGCTGGGGCACAGTGTTTTGCTCCAGGTACAACAAAGATCAATTATTTACTTCTACTGATCGTATAACACGTACATGCTTTCTCTGCAAGGACATGAGCTCATCTTTTGCATCAAATATTTACAACTTGGTACA